GAGCAGACGGAGATACATATTGTACTCCAGGGGCTGTTTTACCCCAGTGGGTAGCACAACTGAATCAGAAGACAGTGCTGGAAGTCATCATAAATCATGGTGACAAGCAACCTATTCACTTACAGGTATCTATAGGAATTGATGAATCATTTATTAAAGCACACATTAGTCATTTATTACTCTTTTATTAACCATTTATCAGTAGGTATTCAAAATGTGAGCAAACCATATTTTTCACTTAAGACTCACGTCCTCACTAGTATACCTCAGATTTCACTGTGGTGATGTTTTGTCAAATTAGACAAATTTTATTCTGTTCACAGGAGGCAGGCTTCTTTATTTAACGGGAAAATTAATTTCTAAAAACACATATTAAAAAAAAAAGAATCTAAACTAGGAAAAATATTTTCCCAACACTTACTCTCCCTGATGTGACAGAATTCTTTTCTATTTGACATTGTTTTGTCCCAGAAATGAATGAAATTGAAGGTGAGGATGGAAATGGCAGAAAGAAAAATTGTCTCCAGAACGAGACTGTTCCCTGGCCAAACAAAGTCTCTCTTCCTTATGTGAAACAAAAGCACTCTGACAAAGTCCCACTGCTTTTCCACGTATGACTAGGGATGTGCTGCTGTCCCAAATCTGTGGTGAAGGAGAAATGCGAGAACTAGGTGGACTGTAGAAAAACTGTCCCCTAAAGCCACATCACCGCATTCTTCTCTCACGTGCCTGATAGCATTTACTAAGGGAAATAATGTATTACTGAAGAGCAGCAATGGCAGCTTCCTCCTTGGGAACAGACACTTTAAAAATACAGGGCAGAAGACAGAAGCGGGAGGCAACTATACTCAGTGGGATCCCGTTATTGAGCATATACTCTTCATTCAGTAAAGCTATAAGACCAGAAGTAGGATTTGGTGGACTGTTCTTTTGGAGAAGGAAGAATAGACAGGAAGGGGTCAAATTCATATGGCTGGCTGGTTGAAACAGGATTTCTATTTTCACTGGATCTTCGGGAAGATCTGAGCAGAACCATGCCTACAGGAACAGATACAAGAGAAGTATTTGCCAGCTTGTGGCTTCCAGCAGATGCTACACTGCTAATTTTTCATCACACTTCAACCACAGTGACATTAACTACAGACTAAAATCACTGTTTTGCAGGCATACAAAACTGCAGTGGTCTGTCACCAATTGTTAAAGTAACACAAGAAAATTATTCTAATTTTTCCTAATGTGCTAGGCATAAAAACAATAGTCGGCACCATTAGCTGAATCTAACTCACTCCCACAGAGTTTGAATATCCTGCAGTACACAAACCAGATTTCAGATTTTCCAGAACGATCAATTCCTGCTCCTTGCTTTGCTTCATTTCTTTCTTTCACATAAGCAATCCCTTGCTGCTGGAGAAAAGCTGAGCCTAAGGCCGTAACTTGCTGGAAAGGAAATGCCAAATTGCTCTTTGTGATACAAAATACATGCTGTATTCAGTGATAATTCACAAAGTTAATTTAAAAACTCTTCCATATTACAGGAATAGGGTTGTAAATTTTCAAAACTTCCTGAAGAAGAGGCCACTAACTTCACAAGTATCTATATTTTCATTTGCTGTAATTTAAATCTGGCACAATATTCCAGCCATTGTGACCTTTTAAAAGGTAGACCTTGTTACCTCACCTGGGATATTTGGAGGAGCTCTTAAAATATTGCTCTTTTAGGCATTAAAGATGAAATTATTTAAACCCCTGGAGGGAACAGGGTATTGTTTGCATGTCTGAATGGATTTTTGCACGGCTCAGAGCCTATTATGAACAGTAAGGGTAAGTATATATGTGAAATAGAACAAAGTAGATATTTTGGACGTGAGTGATGGGGAAGTAACAAAATAATTAACTGGGCTGAATCCCACAAAGCAGTGTCTCATACATTAACCCATCAAAGTACCTGACACATACTTATAACCTCAAGGGCTTAAGCTACTCCTCTGAAGTTAATGGAAGTGCTGTGCTGGATCACAGCCGGGTTGTTCAGCTGCTTCTGTTATTATGCCCTGACACATTATCAGTGAATTTTTCCCTAAGCACAAAGACCACAATTGCATCAGAATAGCACGGGTGTGGTACACGGGGAAAAAAATAGCAGATGGAAGAACAGATTCACTAGACAAGCACCTCCTCTTCCAGCAACATCTACATAAACCCCGTAGAGGTGACTGCCTACAGCTACAAAGGAGCATTTAGACCTTTCTGAAAACATCAAATAAAGACATTTCATGAGCATTTTGAACACAGGTGTAAGGACCTGACCTTCAAGGAATAAATACAGTAAATAGGAGTACACAGATGTGTATTATTGCTTAGGGGCAGATCCATAAACTTGTTTGTGGAGGGAAATAAAGGAAGAGATTGGTCAAGTGTCAAAAGATAAAACTCATCTCCAGTGGACAGAGACATGCTCATGCATGGCTGAGATTGCCTTGTACTGAGGAGTCAGAAGGATCTACTAGCACATGGAAGACTGCTTGGAAATAGAAATACGTAGAAATATAGAAATCTTCAACTTTGGAGAAAGCTATGAAAAAAAAATTATTAAACATCTGTCTTGGCATTAATATTATTTAAATCATATATATACAATGCATTCTACATTCTCCACAACACCATTCGGTGCACAGTCTGGGATACCCAGTGTTGTACTGATACACTGTCCAGACTTTTGAACAAACCCAGCTTTCATAACTTCACTGAAAGCCTTCACTCTGTCAGATCAGGGATGAATTTGGTCCCTGTGCTTTCAGATGAAGACATTAAAAACTTGGCTTAGCTGAGCTACGTCAACAGCATATGACAAATAAAGGCAGAGCTATTTTAGGTAGAAATTATACTGTCAGAAGAAAACATACGCCAGTAAATAAGCATTTGTTTTATAAAAGGGAAAAAAACATTGAGAAAAACTATCTTTAAAGGGAAAGAAGACAGCTAGGAGAGCATGTCAATACCATAAGAACCCAATCCTAAAGCAGGCAGTCGCAAAGTAAATAAAAGAAGATGCACTCTGAAATCAAACCTTGAGATTTACTGAATTTGAGCTTTCTACTTCAAAAGTTATCTTGTAAAATATGTCTTTTTCTTTCAAGTCTTCGAATCAATAATATTGCAGCATGCGGTATGCAACTGGTATTTAAATACAATAACAGTACTTTAAACAGTAAGCCAAAAAAGTAGCATTACCTCTATTAATAGACACTCTCCCTCCTCTTATACTACTTATTTTAAAATAGAGCATATGTTTCTAAAGGGGCCTGACACCATAAAGACTGATTTTTCCTGCCTTATTCATGGAATAAAAATATCACTTAGCAAGGCAGAGGGAAGATTTCTGAGGTCATTAACATCTCTAAATAGTGAAAGGTTCAGAACCATGTCACAATGTATTAAAAAAAAAAAAAAAAGAGATGTCTCTGTGGGAAGATTTGTATGTCATATGAAGTGGAAAAAAGCATCTAAGACCGGACTTTTCGAAGCAAGCTACATAATGCCGCCTCTTCACACCTGCTATTTTATTTCTATACTGAAAGCACCAGACTTTCAAGGGTACAGCGTACCTTTTACTATCATTGACTGAACTGAATTTATAAACATTTCTAAATTTCCACAGAAATAGACTGTGTCTGACAGAAGATTTGGGGCTAAAGCAGGCACCCAAAGTTTTTTTAACATGCCTGCCCAAATTACCAAACTATTAAGTAAAACAAAACATATAATTATAGAATATCTTAAAAAAAAATTTCTATTGAAAGAGATGTAGAAAGATTTCTTCAAAAGAAGAAATCTTAAAGTTAAATACTATTCCTGTTGGCAAAATCGTCATTGTTTCTTATTTCTTCCCTAGTTTTAAAAAACATTCTCCATCCTTTTTTAATCTGGTTATCTAGTTTGCATTTATAAAAGAAATAATTATTCAAGTAAACTCGCAGTAATTTGTTTCAAAATAATCTGTGGACAAATTGCTAAAATTAGGCCAGAAAAAAATAATTTTAAATGGTAAAAACATACCTTAAGGAGAAAACCAAGACCTCTACAGCAATAGGCTTTCCTTTTATTCTTCTAAATTTAGCTTAAAATCAGCATCCCTCACACTTCTCATCTTTTGGGAATATTCTTTAAAATCTGCAGAGCCTCAGGAAACTTTTACGGCAAAATCCAAACTAGCAGTTATTAGGTAAAACTTTTGACACTCTCTAATTCTCTCCACACATACCAGAGGAAAAAAAAAATAAAAATCAGACTAATAATAAATGTAGGGGAGGGAAGGAAGCAATGCGAGAAGGGCGGGAAATCTGGTAGATGCTTTGCCTGAAACCAGAAACTTTGATGTGGCAGTATTACACTCTCCTGTAGGGCAGTGAATATCTTTTGGTTGGGGTTTGGGGTTTTTTTTCAGAGTTTTCAGAAGTCTTCAGTGGAATTCAACTTGCAGGGGAAAAAAACTTTCCTTGCAAATTCCACCTGTAGGTTAAAATTAAAGCTTTTAGAACTAGAGCTTTCATTACAAAACTCTCAACACCAGCTGTCTCAGAGGTGAAGTACTGAAGCCAGGACAAAACATGTTGCTCTCATCCATGTTCCTGACAATCAAAACCCCTAAGCTAGAACACAGGTTAAGAGGGAATTCTCTAGTTTTCCCCCGCAGGAGCAAAAGGAGAAGGTTACAACTAGCAAACTTATTTTACAGGTTTTCATCCTGCTAGCCAACCTCTGAATGATATCTCTTGACATAAATTTCTACCTTGTGGTTGCTTTTTTTTTTTTCCCCCTAAATGATGCATACAAATTTATTAATGTAAAAAAAGAAAAGAGCAGCTGTGGGAAAGTCTGTCACATTGAGTTGAAAACATGACTTTTAAATATTTTCTTCCATTAAGGAATATTTTTATATTTAGAAACAATCTAATTACAACCGCACGCACCATTTTGTAGAACACAGATGCCAAACTTACCTCCTTCTTGGTAAATTCTGGAGCATGGTCATTTTTGTCATCAATAAGAATAGTGGCAGTTGCGGTGTCAGTTAGTCCCACATCAAGACCACCCATATCCTTTGCTTCTATAACTAGCTCGTATTTCGGGGTTTCCATAGTCTGAAAGAAAGAACAGAAAAGGAAAGGTTAAAAAACCCCCCCAACACTGCAATACACTACATATTAGTTTTAACTCATGTTAAAATAATAAATTAAAAAAGCGCTAAAACTTAATTTGGCCTGACAAAACATAGTATAGAAACAGATCTGTTATCACAGTGTTTTACCAAAACACAAGCACAACTTTCTATGAGCTTCAGCTCCTACAATGGAAACCTTGTTTGGAATATAGGAGGAAGGAATACCAGTGAATACTGGTAAACAGTACCTAATTTATCCTGATATTTAAGGAGACTAGGAAAAAGGAAGGAAATTAAAATATACCTGCTCTTTAAGAGTAATCTCTCACTTCAGTGCACCAATATTTAGCAGCTTGCTTTATCAGCGTTCTGATAGGTACATAATTAAATACTAATGTCACAATCTACACATAAATTAATTTTATTTTATTAAATCACATTCATTCTATGCATTAGCATTTAGAACGGTAATCAAAGTTTGCTTCACTGTAAGACACAAGAAAGCAGTTTCTAAAACAGGCAATGACTGCCATTTATTGCACAACACAAATCTGTATAGTAACATTTATGATTTACATCTGTAATATCCGACTTCTGTGTCATGGTTATTTATCTGCCTGCCTGCCTACTGTAGAAACAGACAGTATAGGTCCATATCAAAAACCATCCTTAATTTCCCTCCCTTGAAAGACAGCCATAACATGGAAAAAACCAAAACCAAACCAAAACCAAACAAAAAAACAACAAAAACCCAACCAGCTGTGGCCACCATTCTGCAGTGGGAATGCAACAGCATTTCTAATTCACCTCTCTCACATCAGGCACAAAAGCACATCTGTTTGCAAGCTGGACAACGGGTTAGTAATACATCCCATTAAAGGGAGCTATTATCAGCATCAGAACCTGCTCCCATGGAACCTGTAGAGAATTTTGACGTGGATTTCACTGGAGACAAGACCAGGCACATAATTAAAATGAATATTTTCCCCATTTGTATGGCTGCCTTATATGGAACCATCTGCCTGAAGACCATATGTGCTGCATCATCAATGGAGAACACAGATGGAAAAGTGCTGCATTCACCTTTAAAACTATACGGTAAGAATATCACATGCGCTCAAGAATGTTTTTTAAAACCCTCCCTGAAAAATAATTCTGGATCTCAGGGGCAAAATGACATAATGATGCTGAAAGGGTGGCTAGGGCACCACTGCTGGAAGGCTTTTTTAACCTCAGACCAGCTCTATCAGCCGACCGTGTTTACAAGAACCAAGGCTGCACATCTTTGACAACACTCATCCTATGTCCTTTGTCTAAGAGTTTTCCAGAGAATTAACATTCAGGGAGACAATTGGTGTGAGACTCCATGTAGCAACACAGTGCTCTCTATCTACCACCCAGACACTGCCTTATAAAGCAGAATCAAGGAAGCTGAAGCAGAGCTTATCCTGTAGCAGAGAACACATTATAGAACAGTTTGGGTTGGAAGGGACCTTTAAAGGTCATTAAGGTCATTTAGTCCAACCCCCCTGCAATGAGCAGGCACATCTTCAACTTGATCCAGTCGCTCAGAGCCCTGTCCAACCTGACCTTGAATATTTCCAGGGATGGGGCATCTGTCACCTCTCTGGGCAACCTGCTCCAGTGTTTCTCACCCTCATCATGAAAAATGTCTTTGTTATATCTAGTCTGAATCTACCTTGGTTATAGTTTCAAACCATTACACCTTGTTCTATTGCGACAGCCTCCATTAAAATGTTTGTGCCCATCTTAAGGCCCCTTTAAGTACTGCAAGGCTGCTCTAAGGTCTCCCCAAAGCCTTCTCTTCTCCAGGCTGAACAACTCCAGCTCTCTCTGCCTTTCCTCGCAGGAGAGGTGTTCTATCCCTCTCATCATCTTTGTGGCTCCCTCTGGACCTGCTCCAAGAGGTCCATGTCTGTCTTGTACTGAGGACCCCAGAACTGGATGCAGTACTCCAGAGGTGGGGTCTGACCAGAGCAGAGTGGATGGGGAGAATCCCCCCTCGCCTGCTGTCCACACTGCTCTGGGTGCAGCCCAGGGCACACATTGCTGGGTCACGTTCAGCTTTTCATCCCCCAGTTCCCCTGAGTCCTTCTCTGCAAGGCTGCTCCCAACCCATTCACACACACCCCCCAGCCTGTATCTCACCATTTAAAATTGTAAAAGACTTATTTCTCATCTTTCGCTTAGCAAAGCAACCTCTTGGGTCACACAATCATCTCTGTAGCTAAGTGATTTGAAAGCATTTACTAAATAGTGTATTTTGCATTATGCATTTTCCTGGGTGCATCACAACACCTTTCGTGAAGTGTGCGTAAGAAAGAGATCCCATTTCCTTAGTACTTAGATCATGAAGAATTTTTAGGCCGTGAGAGAAGAAACCCTATCAGTTGCTCATCAGATCAGCTATTATGAAGCAATATATTTGCATGTAAAATCAATGAGTCAAGCCATAAGACACATTTAGTTCTAAAAACATATGGGCTACTAGAAAATCAGATGCCACTGGCACATAGGGGATCCTAAGGAGAGTATTTCCTTAAGTCTTACAACATTATTCCATGAAATTAATCTCAAAAGGCAGCAAACCCAGAACAGGATTTTGATTTATAACATTATATAAATATACGCAAAGAAATATGACTGACATGTCTCCAACACAAATTCAGATTACAGAGTGGAACAAAATTTACAGTTTTCATATATTTATTTTCTAACCTGCATTCAATGTATTAAAACCCAAATGGAACTTCTCTCCCCTCCCCTAGATGCAACTTTTTCATTATTTTGATTAGAAAGTTGTTATTATCGTATGGAAAACTTGGAAAGCCATTTATCACTTGATGCTTGTAAGCCTCTTTGCTCAGAAAGAGGCCCATTTTTACTCACAAATTGGCCTTTTTTCCTTTGAAAACTGTCCCATTTTCTATTGAAAGCAAGCCCATTTATGCTAGAAATTGTGTCTACTGCAGCAGAAATTTCTGTGACAGGAGTCCAATGTTTAAGCTCGCAACAGAATGTGAAAAACATTGAATTTTGAGTAGTATTTCATATCATTATGAATACTTCACACTTCCCCGCTATGCAGCACTTTCTACATCTAGTTCTGTCACCAAATATTTGCTTTGTTAGAGAAAGCAACTCCTAACAGATCCAAACCCGAGAGCAGAGGCATGTTCCCATCAGATGCTCTCTTTACACTAGGAGATTGCATGTAAAGGGCTTTTCAGCATTTCTCATACTTGTAGCCCAGCGAATTCAGGCACTAGGAGCAATTATTTGGATCTGTGTGACTTGTCACACTCCTGGTAAACCCTGGGACGCGCAAGAGGGCATCTGTGGACAGAGTAAAGGGTCCCTGCTCTCTTACGAACTCCATCCCTCAGCTGAGGACCCTGCAGAGGGTCAGGGTCTGTGCTGGGCGCATCCCCCAGGGGAGGGGGGACAGTGCAAGCTGTCATGGAAACTCCGCGGCTTTTCCCTCCTCACGAGGCTCAGGCCTCTACCCCAGCGCAGTCCCTCCCTGCACTCGCTCCCATCTTGTGTGAAATGAGAGCTTCTGGAGGGGGGCAGCGAAGGAGAAAAGCAGCCTTTCTTCATCTCCTCCATCCCTGGTACAATGTGCAGGTTAGGGATAAATGCAGCACCCACCGTTGGTAGCATTTTGGGACCCCAAAGTTGCTCAGACTGTCATTCCGCCGTGACGTTCCCTGTCCCTAAACCCAGGCTCCCTGTTTCTCAAAGCAGTGACTTAGTCCCTAAAGCAGTGACTTAGTCCCTAAAGCACACTTGCAGAAACAATCCAATTAATAACATTTGGATAGCGAGATATTAGCAATATAAATATGCAACAACACTCAACAAAGTGGATCTACGGCTAAAAAGGATAATAGATGATTTAAATAAATGAACACTGTTGCTGTTTGCGTGGCTTACTATTTATCAACTATGACTTTGTGGAGTGTAACACTGTTGAGAGGTTTTGTATAATTACAGCAGGAGAACCATTCCTTTCCCCATAAATTTTCACTGTAGTCATTTAGCCACGGCAGGGGTGACACTGGCAAATTGTTTGGTTCGCCAAGGAGGTGAGCTGTGCCCTGAGTGTTTTTCTGTGAAGGTCCACCCACTGCCATTCACACCAGTGTTAACATTCCTATCAGATTTCACTCTCCTGCTGCCTTGACATAACTGGTTCAGCACTAGTAAGCAACGAGAGGCCAGAAAGGCACTTTTTCAGAATTCAGATTCCTGACAAAGTCAGCAGGATCTAATCACAACAGAGGGAAATAAACAGTTCAGGGCAGATACACACAGGTGGAACAAACCAAGTGGTTACTTTTAGGTAGTGCTGGATAAAACCAGATAGTGATGGGTTTCTGCTGAGTTTTAACCTGTTAATATTTTGTACAGATACAATAAAAAACCCCTGTGACTTAAGAGAAGCAAGCCATGGCTAGTATTTCACACCGCCAGCAGTAACAGGCCAAGCCTCAGTACAGGCTGTCACCTGCAAGCTGTAGGGCATTCATGTCCCATTTAAATTCAGCTGGAAGTGACAGCATCCTCAGTACAGTAGGACTCAATGTACATTAACTCAAGATGGAAACAGGCGGAACTACTTGCACGATTAGAAAAAAGGTTTAGGACCCTTAGGTGATCACTGGTATTTTCAAATTTGTCCAAGTCCTGAATTTCCAGTGATGTACATGGACTCTCAAAGCCTTGGTACTGCTACCGAGCAATTACAAGTCCCCTTTCTGCAACTTCACCTGTCCAAAGCTTTTAGAAGTGTGACCAGTGTGTCTCCCCTTGTTTTTTATTTATCTGGCAAGGTAGTGCAATCACTCAGGAGGTTGATGTTTTCACCGAGTCCTGGCTTTTTTCCATCTTATGTTTAGATGTTCAAATTGTCTACTTTTTGGAGCATCACTGTCACAGAATCAAAGGAGCGAAGCC